TTTGTTATGTATATTTTACCACAATAAAAAAAAGAAAAAAAAATGAAGGAAAAAATGAGAAACCTGACAGGAAAATGAGCACGGAAGCTGCTTTTGGCCCGAGGGAATGTACCATTTCTCAGAAAATTAGGACCTTTTCTTTACAGCCTCCGCAGCAAGAGAGACAGAAATGAAAGCCCAGTGTCTTTTTGTTGGCTTTTTAACATTCATCTTCATTAATTTTATCCTGAATGTGTCCATGAGGTTTTCTGAATCAGAGACAGACTATCATTAGTGTTATTTACATAATAATCACTGCCTTGGCCCCCTTGCCCCAGACTTTACCCTTGGGGCATCACAAAGAAAGCCAGATGGGAAAATCTCTTGTGTGAGGGCCCAGATAATCCGTAGATGAGGAATGGAGAAAAATGGATTTTCTCTGCCTGTATACAGGAGAAAGAGACAGCTGCCTCCCCATCTTCTCTCAAAAAGAGGGAATAAAACTTGTGCTCCTTGGAGATGGGATGAAAGGATCCTGGCTTCTTACTCTAACCTTTTGGAATGTAATTAAATCTTTTTAAAGACTAGATAAGCCTGAATGTCTCTGACTCTCCATGGCCCTGAGCCTCATTTTCTTGTGAAATATAAACACATACCTCCAGAGTTAGATAAATCTCTCTGGAGTTCTCTCAGTATCTATACAGCTATACACTCTATACAGCATAGAGACAGTATCTATACAGTTCTTCCCAGAGGTTGCTCTCAGCTCAGGATCCCAAGTTTTCAGCAAAATTTATTCAGAAATCCTCAACTCTGCAGAAATACAGAAATATTTTCTCTATATCACACACTGTTGAAGACTACACTTTTAGAATTTTGATCTGTATATGTTCAGTTTATCAACTCTTTGTACTACTTAAGGATGCTTTCCCCATGAGATCAGGAACGAGGCAAGGATTTCCATTCTTACCACTTCTGTTCAACATTGTACTGGAGGTTCTAACCAGTACGCTAAGGCAAGGGATGGGGCGTGGGAGGAGAGAGATTGGAAAGAGAGGAAGTAAAACTTATTTCATTTGCAGATTACATGATCATCTATGTAGAAAATCCTAAAGTATCTATCAAAAGCCTACTAGAATGATAAGTGAGTTTAGCAAAACTGAACACAAGTACGTGCAATGTAAGGCAGAGTGTGATAGCTGCTTTTACAGAGGTACCATGTCCTTTAGAAGTACTGAGGTGGGGAGATTAATTCTCTTGGAGAAAATGGAAGGCATCATAGGAGGTAGGCTGTGAACCAGGTGTTCGAAGAAGGATTGATTTGGGCCAGGAAGAAGGGAATTTGTGTTCTAATGGGAAGGAAGAGAAAAAAACCCAAATGTTTGGTGGTAGAAAATCATGGGGGAGCTCATTGCATTTTTTAATACACAGTCATCTCTCGGTATCCGCAAGAGATTGGTTCCAGGACACCCACAAATACCAAATCCATGGATGCTCAAGTCTGTTATGTAAAATGGCATAGTGTCCTATGCACATCCTCCCATATAGTTTAAATCATTTCTAGATTACTTATAATACCTAATACAAGGTAAATGCTATGTAAATAGTTGTTGTAGTATATTGTTTGGGGAATAATGATAAGAAAAAAGTCCATACATGTTCAGTACGGAAGCAACCATCATAGGCCTTTCCATCTGTGGTTGGTAGAATCTGCGGATGTAGAACCCGCAAATATGGAGGGCTGACTGTAATTGGCACTGGAAGTATGAGAGAAAGCAGAAGGAAAGGAGGGCCACAAAGGAAGGTTAGAAAGAGGTGGCAGAGGCCTCAAAAATCAGACCCCAAATTAAGTACTTTATCTGAACAACTTAATACTCAATACCTTCCGTAGAGGGGAATAAAATTATTTTCTCAACTATAAAAATAGTAGTCTTCTTTTTCTATTGGCTGGTCAAGAAAGATGATTATGTTCATAAGTAATTTTAAAGTCGCTCAATTAAACTGTACCTTTAGTTTTGTAAACTAGGCAAAACAATCCAGTTTTATGTGAAAATATAAAATGAAAACATGAAATGAAATCTTTCAAATCTGCCGCTCTTAGTTATCATCTCTCTATATAGTCCTAGACTATAAACTCTTGGAGGGTAGCAACCTGCGATCTAAGTCTTTCATATGCGCCATTGTGCAGGCCATTTTGTAGGTGTTTAATAAATCCTTGGTATCCAGCTATGATGTAAAAATGCAGTAATCCCATTGGTAGTTCTTGACATTATTAAGAAATGAGTGTATCTAAGTTAAAAGGAAAGAAAAGAAAAATCTACAGCATAGAGCCAAGGAATAAATGTGAGAAATAGGCTAGAAATAAAGAGATTTTATTTCTTGAAGACCCTGCCTCTGGGACCCAGCACTCAAGTGGAAGGTCCTTCCCCCATCCAGGCCACATTGAGCACCCTGGGCATTTCCCAAGCAGACAGCTCCCTCCTAGAATCCAGTCCATAGAAGGGATATAGTTTACTCCTCTCAGAACACCATTCTGCTTTATTAAAAACGCTTTTTCTCCTTACCCCAGAGGAAATGGGGCAGAGCCCCTCTCATTCCCTGCCCACTCAATACCCTTTCCCATAGGAACCTCGAAGCACAAACCTTAGCCCTTCAAAGACTGACCCCGCCACAGTAATTTCCAAAACAAGTCTTGCAGTAACAGACAGCCATGCTGACACAATTTACCACGTGAGGAATTCGCCTTCTTTTGATCACATCCGCTCGTACTCAAAAAGGAAATTCTGAGGCTTGGAAGGCTATTCCTTCTCCCAAGACAATTTCCCCTCTGCATGGTTTCTCCCTTAGGCACGCCATTCTTCGTAATGAAAAGATGTCCACTATCACCTGTGAACTTGCTGAATTGCGCTTTTGCTTTTGAAACCATCTGCCTAATTTTCTCAGTGTGGAATTTAAATAGACTGCTGTTATTGTATTTAATTGAATAATTTTTCACTAATTTAAGGCTCATAAGGAAACTTCCCAACTGGAGTTGTTTACACGACTAGGCAGGCAATCTATATCCCCATTATCTCTGCCTTGATTTGTTTTGCTGTCAAAGATCAGCTCAGAATAGTTTGCCAGAACAAACTCTACTTGCAATGGGGTGACAGAAACCAAGGTAAAATAAAAAAGATGTAACTAAGGAGAAATTAGCATATTCTGAACAGCAGGTTTCGGAGACTTGGAAACTATAGTAGTGTATTAATTAGGATTCTCCAGAGAAACAGAGCCAATAGAATATATATACACACATACACACATACATACAGAGATATATGTATGTATAAGTATAGAGAGAGAACAAGATTTCTTATAAAGAGTTGGCACACATTATTAATGGAGGTTGAGAAGTCCCATAATCTGCCTTCTGCAAGCTGGAGACCCAGGAGAGCCAGTGGTGTAGTTCCAGTCCTGAGAACCAGGAGAGCCAATGGGATAAGTCCCGGTCTGAGTGCAGAAGACACATGTCCCAGCTTGAAAATAGGCAGAGAGAGGGAATTCTCCCTTACACCACCTTTTGTTCTCTTCAGACTTCCAATGGATTGGGTGAGACCCACCCAAATTGGAGAGGGCAATTTGCTTTATTCAGTCTGCTGATTCAAATGTTGGTCTCATCCAGAAGCACCCTCACAGACACACCCAGAATAATGGTTAACTAAATATCTGGGCACCCCGTGGCCCAGTCAAGTTGTCACATAAAATTAACCATCACAGGTAATGAGCAGTTTGGCACATGTTATTGGAGAGTTGGTATTCCCCACTTTAAATGTCTCCACTTTTACAAATGGAATTGACCATTTGCGTATGAGTCCTATGGTTCACCCAAAGCCTTGACTACTTACCTACCACCTGTCTTTGGCATAAGCCTACCTCAGATGTAAATGACATTCCTCCTTTTTTGAAAAATTTCACTAAAGAAATGGATCTAGAGCGGTCATTTCAACCAAGTGTGATTCTGCCTCCCAGGAGAGATTTGGCAATGTCTGGAGAGATTTTTGGTGGTCAGAACTGGGGAGATGCTACTGGCATCTAGTGGGTAGAGGCCAGGGATGCTGTTCAACATCCCCCAGTGTACAGCCCAACGACGAAGAAATATCCAGCCCAAAATGTCAATAATGCTGAAGTTGAGGAATCCTGGTCTAGAGAAAAGGAGACATTCCATACCACTCAACACAGTGTGCCCCAAATGTCCCCTGTCTATGGCATAGGAAGCCAATGCTTTCTAAAAGCTTTCTGGATCAGCATTTTCCCACTGAGTTTAAATTACCGGGTAGGATCTAGCATTAAAACTGGCAACTTTGGAATAGCTTTAAGGGAGATGTGTTAAAACTCTAATTTAGATGAAACACAAGAAAGCCATGAGAGAAGTTAGCAGCACTCTGAAATCTAGGAGAGCTGTGAGAATCGCGTGCAGGTGGCTTTATTCCAGCTCACAGCACCAAATATCCCATAGTGAGTTCTCAGATGGGGAGGAGCAAATATTCATTTTTGTCAGAGGCAAATGCTGAAACTGCAGTAATGGCCTCTTCAGGCCTTCAGAAGGTGCCACTTCATTCCCGGTGTAATATCACTTCGATTCTAACTGTACTGGGTTGTCCTAATTCATAGGGGTCAGTGACGGAACATCAGAAATCTTGTTTCTTGACTTGTCAATTTATATGCTCCGTGACAAACCTGATTGCTGTTTTCTTAAATGAGTAACCTATGCATCTTTGCTTATGGTCAGGAAAAAAGTCCCTGTTAATAATTTACGAAAGACAGAGCTACTCCTCTTTTGCATCCTCAAATCTCTCAAAGCACGTGATTGTCTAAGCATATCTGGTTTCCAAGTAGCTGAGTGATGAAATATGATTGGCCCCTTAGCATCGATTCCTCCTCTCCTTCCTCTCTCACTCTTCTTGTCTGGCAGTTGTTTGTTATGTTGCAATCATTCTTATTATAAAAGAATAAAGAACAGAGTTCTTTCTTTCCATCCTTAGGAAAAGGTGGGCTGTTTTGGCTTCCTACCATGGATGAGGATCTTGAAGGAGAAACTTGGCAGAGCTTCTCTATTCCCTGGGGCTTCAGCAAGGCGGTAGAGGATGAAGAAGAGCATATATGCCAGTGAGTAACAGTCATTAAGTAAAAATAGCAGGGGTCTTCTCACTGCTTTCTGAGATTAGCTCATGTTTTTGGGTAGGATCAATCTGGACAAGGGTTGAAAGCCATGTCTCAGAATTATATAAGAATGATGCCTTTGCTAGGAAAGTGATGAGATCCTTCTGAGTTTTGTCCAGGTAATTCTAATATTTAAAAAGAATATTGGATGTGAGGCAAGAATATCCTGTAAAAGAAAAGTACAAAACCATACGCTACTTTGGTTGTTTATTTCCTTAAGACTAAATGTCCAGAGGTACTTTTGGGAAAAGAGAAAGTGATTCTAGCTGCTTGTCCTTATACATGGTATTAAAATAGGCTATCATTCACAGGAAACTTTTGACTGCACTTTTTGCAAGGGGAATTGGACTGTGCTGTGTCTATTTTCTTTGAAAAATGGTCTCTTCTCAGTGACAAATGTATCTTTCAGGATGAAAAGTTTTGATTTTTAAATAGAAAATGCTATGTTGGCTATGCAAGTTGGTTTGTGTTTAATTGCTTCTTTACGTTCAATGGTCTTGATAAATAAGTTTTTCTCCTTTGAGAAAAACCATAATTTTATAGAAAGCTCAGATTATTGCTGAGTGGCTTATGGTTTATATAAATATGTAATTCTTTCTTGTGGTTGTCTAAATTTCAAATATGAGAAATCTGTCAGTAATGCCTACATTTTGGTATGCTGATTGGGAAGTTTTCAGTCCTTCTGCTATTTAATGCTTTCTCATTAATCACTGACACTGTGTATTATAAGCCACTTACGAGTTTATTTAAATGCTATTCTTTCAGTGGATTCTGATTATTGAATGTTTAGGCATTGCAATAAGAGCATTATGTGGAGGCCCAAGTATAAAGGAGCTGCCACAGGTTAAGAGAAGCTCTTCAAATGGATAAAACTCATTACTCTTCACTTTGACTACTTGGGACTTTGAGCCAAATATTTTTTAGAGTTGCCATAATTTTTAATAACAGTAATCACTTGGTAGCACTATTTGTTTGAAAAGTTTTGAGAGTTTGCATGAGTGCAAATGAAACCTCTTTCTGTTATGTAGTTCACTGTAAGGAAAATTTAGGAGTTAATGTTGTCATTCTATGAAACCAAAACACACAGAACAGTCTGACATTTTGGAACTAGCAGCTATGATCTCCCAAAACTACTGTTTGCTTGTGACGTAACTTCACTGGATAACTTTTCTTTTTAGTGCACACATTTTCCTCTTGATTTCATACTTGAAGGATGAAATGATTGAATATTAGGGCTAAGGAAAGTGACCGCTGAAGACATACGATCCTGGGATTTGTGTCTCTTGCTTGCCTAGTCAATAACATGAGAAGAAATAGATTCAACTTCAAGCTCATTGAAGCATATTGTTTATGGGTTTAGGAGAAAGTAGGTAATAAAAGACATAAGAAATATTTTAAATCAAAATACTAAAGGCAAACCACTGAATTCCAGTTCAATAGTTTGTTGGTCATAGTTTTAACTTCATAGATCCAGTGAAAAGTTTAGTGTGTCTTGTTTGACTTGTATTAGTGCTAGATATGTCTCTAAAGATTGAAGTTCTATCTTATCCCTGGATGTGCTTTGTCATTATATGATTTAGGTTAGTATATTAATTTTATTCTTTATATATAAAATACTATTTTATTTTTATGACTCAACATAAAAAGTAACCATTATTGTAACTTCAGCTCATGTCTCCAGTGGAGGATGCTCTCAAGTATAGAACTCTGCAAATATGGTTCAAGATTCATTGGATGGGGATAATTTTCACAGAGCAACAAGTGATGCTGGTCCAGTTTGCTCAGCTGAGTCCCGCTCCTGCTGCTGGCTTCACAGCAACAAGATCTAAATTCCTTAGCCTGTCTTCCATTCAGGCAGTGCAGGCTCCCCAGACTGGGGGTCCTGCATCCCCCATACATATGCCTCATTGCTTATCTGAAGGAGCCATCATAAGACTGATGTGAAGAGGAGAATGGTTCCCTTTCCTGAAGTTTTATAACTCTTTGAAATTAAGGTGACTTGAGATTGTTTTGGTTATTTTTGTTTTTGATTGAAGAGCAACTGGTTCCTTTGCCCGACAGAGCAGCCACATGGAATGGTTAAAACTATGGTTTCCTGACCCAGCCTGACCTGGGTGTGCACCCTAGTGCCTTCACTAACTGGCTGTATGACTTTGGGCAAGTTTGTTAGCTTCGTTATACCTCAGTACCCACATCTGTAAAATGAGGATAATACCCACCTCATGGGGTTTCAGGGGCTAAGTGAGTTACTATGGGAACGGCTCCTAGCTCATCCAATTATCTAATTACTGATGGTGATTCTTGTTGTTAGTACTAGTAGCAGTGATACTAGAGCCTTTCAAAAGCAATTTCGTTTGCAAGCCTTCAAGTTCAGTTTGAGTGAATATATATTATGTTGCTATATCAATCTTCTAGTAGGAAGAATGATTCATGTAGGACTTGAGAGAAGTGAGTACAGGAAGGTAGGAGGGAGTTTAATACTTCTATGCAGTTTCTTTGATTTTTAAACACAAAGCTTGGTAGAAAGTATAATGAAAACATTAGTGAATTTTAAAACACGAATTAAAAAACAGGATTATTTTATTTCAGTTCAACAAATATTTATTGAGAACCTACCAATGTGCTAAGTGCTGGGGTACAAAGAGAAAAGTCAAGGCTACAATGAGATACTACACCACACCTACTAGAATGGTGAGAATGAAAGATGCTGGCAACGCCAACTGCCAGCAACTGGAACTTTCATACATTGCCAGTACCATGTACCAGCAAAATGGTATAGTTGCTTTGGAGACCATTTGGTAGTTTCTCATAAAGCTAAATATACATCTGCCATAAAACCCATATAATCCCATTCCTGGGTATTTACCCTAGAGAAATGAAAACTTGTGTTCACAGAAAAAGCCTTCACAAATGTTTATAGCAGCTGTATTCAAAATTGCCCCAAACTGGAAACAACCCAAATATCCTTTAATGGATGAATGGATAAACAAACTATGTTAAATCCTGACAATGAAATACTCCTCAGCAATAAAAAGGAACAAATTATTGATACACACAATTTGGATGAATGTCAAAGGCATTATACTGTGTGCAAGAAGCCGATTTTAAAAGGTTACGTGCTGTATGATTCCATTTATATGCCATTCTCAAAAAGACAAAGCTATAGTGACAGAGAACAGGTCAATGGGTGCCAGGGGTTGGGGTCGGGGGAGGGTGTGATAGCTCCTCATGTGATGGAACTATTCTGTATCCTGATTGCAATCATACTTACAGGGATCTATACATGTGATAGCATTTCTAAAACAATTCTAGAACAGTTTCTCACAATTCTAAAGTTGGCATTAAAAAAGTCAATTTTATTGTGTGATAATCTAAAACATGGAAAATAAGAATACAAGGTTCTTGCCCTTGGAGAGTTCACAGGTGCAATGAGGGACAAACACAAACACAAGTAATTATAATACACTGGGGTGAATATAGTGATTGTGACATGCTGAATGTAGTGACTGTGACATACTGGTATGCTATGACTGGGTTACAAGTGTACCCAGATGTTGTTGCACAAAGACTGTGGTGGCCTGAGACCCAGGCCACTTGCTTATGGCCATGCATAGCCTTGTCCATTTACCCTCAACCATTTTCTGTGTATACCATGGTGTGGAAGAGCTTGGGAAGTCCTGGCTTTGGATATTATGAAAGCGCAGAGGAAGGACACTTCGCCTGGTTGCCTGGGAGGTGGGGGTACCCGGAAAAGCATCCTAGGGGGTAACACCTGCAGTGGGGATTAAAGGAGAAGGATGAGATAGCTAGACAAAAGAGGGCTTCTCCAGGGGAGTGAGAGGCCGTTCCAAACAAGCCACCCCTCACTTAAGAAAGGCACCAGGAGAGAAAGAGTGAAGTGGGAGTTGGGAGCTCTAGGGTATTCCAGATTATAGGAATACGAAGTATGAGACACAGCTGGAGAAGCGAGACTGTGAATAGATTTATAGATAGTCTTGTACAATAAAGAAACATTTTGTTTTGATAGTAGATTTCGAGCAAATTTAGAGGCAGATGGGGATTAGGCAGCGGAGAGGGCGATTTGATAAAAGAGAGGAGACTGGAGAGATGAGATAATGGGAAAAGAAATAGGGTTCGATCTTAACTGTCACATGTTGGAGAACACTCTTGTAACGTGTAGCATCAATGGAAAACTCTCTCTCCTGATCTATTCATTTATTCATCATCAATTTATTCAACAAATCTTTATTGAATACCCACCTGCATGCTAAGCACTATTTTAGGTCTTGGGCATCCAACAGTGAACAAAACAAAGTCTGAGCTCTTAAGGAGCTGATATTTTAGGGGCTAAATGAGCTCAGCTTTGGACAATTTTGAAGTATGAAGGGTCTCTGAGGTAATAACACCTAGTAGATGGGAGCTGCAAAGAGCGGTCTGGACTGAAAATACAAATTGTGAGTCACTGGCACAAAGAAATTAGAGCCCTAGAAATTGGTTGAATAATCTATTTTTTTATACCTCTATAAAAACTAGGGGAAAAATCTAGTTTTTTCACCAAAATTCTCAATGATTTGCCATCAAGATTAGTCCTTCTGTGAGAAAAGGAGAGATGTATCTCGCTTATGCCATAATCTCAAGGGTGCTCATCCACCCATATTCCTTTTTTGTGACATCCTGATAAACCGTTCTCTAATCTTTTTGGAAGAGACGGTCTTAAAATTAACAAATTTCTCTGACATGCAGAGCATTATACTAAGCTTTGTGAGGGGGTGGGACAGGAAAGAAAGGATAGACATGGTCTCTATTGTAAAAACACTTAGAATCTACAAGGAGAGATAGTCTGTGTACTCTTTGTAAATGTTCCTGGTGCTTGAGAACAGCCATAAGCAAACAAGCAGAAATTCCAGGTTGCTAAGGGGACTGAATCTTCCAGTATGTACACACAAGCAGTGTTGTAAAGCAATCATAAGGACTCTTTCAAAAGGAGTAGGTGCTGAAGCCAATTATCAATGACCTGAATCTGCAGCAGCTTAGGATGACATAGGCCAAGTTCTTGGGCTTGACTTTGGATAATGTAGATGGGCACATGTGTTTTGAAGAGATTATTATTATTATTATTATTATTATTATTATTATTTGGTGATGAAGA